CGCCCGGCAGCTCTGCGGTGAAGCCGAGCGCCCACCCGCCTTCCCGAGCAAGCCAAGCCAAAGGCCTCCTTCGTCCTTCCCTCTCCTGGTGAGGCGACGCCGTAAAACTCTTGAGGTGGCTGGGCTCAGCCTGCCTCCGGCTACGCCGGGCTTGGTCGGACCAACGCTGCGCCCTAAAAGCGCCCCTAGAGCCTCCCCCAGGGCAGCCCTCCCCGAGCAGCACGGAGAAGGTGGAAGCAAGCAGGCTGCCCTCCCCGGCCCCTCCGCCCGGCCCTCGGCTCCCAGCACAGCCCCGCAGAGAGCAGGAGGGCTCTGGAGTCCCTCCGCGCCCCTTCCCAGCTCAACCCCCGGCGCACACGCCGGGCCAGCCAGCGCCCAGAGCAGGGAGCGACCCACGGAGGTGTCTGCCCCACGGACACTCACCGTTTCCTGGAGGAGGAGAAACCTTGGGCTATTTTTTTCCCCTCTCCTTGCTCCTCGCTTTCAGCAGAGTGGGAGCAGGAACAGAGGGCTTCAGGAGCTCCCCAAGCGCTTCGTTAGGAGCTCCGGCACCCCGACCCAAGCGGTTTCACACACCGAATTCCACGGAAGCAAACACAGGTCACACACAATTCCATCAGCCTGGTTTCGGCTCCCTGCCCCAGCCTGGATCAGCCCCGGCGCTGGACTGAGAGCCGGCAGCACAGACAGCAGCGGGCCGAGGGGACGGACCCTGCCCTGGGAAAGGGGGAGCGCCCCGCTCCAGCCGCCAGCCCCAGCCCGGCGGCGGGGACACAACCGCCCGCCTGGCTCAACCCGCGGGAGGCCGCCAGGCGAGAAATACCACGACACGTGCTGGCTGCAGCAGGGGGGAAGGCTTTTATTGAAAGAAAAGCGTGTATAAATAAAATTCTGCCCCTTTCTTAAGAGCAGGGGGAGGGGGAAGCCCATTTCCAGCACCACCCCTGCGCCTCAGCCCCACTGCAGGTTGGGGGGGACAGGCCACCCTCCGGGTGGGGGCGCCTGCAGGGATGGGGGGAGATCCTGCACCGGTGGCCAGCCTGGCGGGTACTGGAAAGGCGCTGGTTTCTCAGGCAGAGCGCTGCAGAGGTGGGGAGAAGGATGGGGACAATTCAGTTTGATAGCAAGACCCTGCTTAGGGGCTGAGCTTCCCTGTGCCCTCGCCGCTAGCCCCCCGAAAGAGGAAGGGTGCAGCAGAGGAGGGGTTTGGTTATCAACCAGCAGGTATATTCACCCCCCCACCCCTCCCAATCCACCAGCAGAACTGCTGTGTAACCCCCCCCAGCCCATTCGGGCGTTGGTGCCTGCGAACACACGTCCTGTCACCGAAAAATAAGCTGGGAGAACTAAGGTAAGGGGGGGCTGTCGGGGCAGGGGGAGCAGGCGCAGCCCCCAAGAGGGGCAGCAGCCCCAGGCACAGCTGCTGGCAGGCAGGCCCCGGGCTGGGAGCACGGCTGGTCCCGTCCCCTCCCTCCCCCAGCTGCTCCCGACTCTTCACGCAGCTGAGTTTCGAGAAGAACAAACAAAATCACCAGATGTTTCTTTCCGAGCAGCCTGAATCCCAAGCCAGCTGTGTACTTCCCAAAGGACAAGGACCCCTCGGAAACGGAGGAACTGCCAAAACGACGGGGTGTTTTCAGAGAAGCACCCTTCAGCAGAGGGAACAGGCTTCCTCCTCCAACTCACGGCCTGGGAAACACTTTTTCTCGGTCTCTCACCCTCAAGTTTACTAGTTGAGGCCGCTGCAAACACCACACCTGACTGAGAAGTACACAAGCAAGAAGCATCACTCCCTTGGCTCCAGCTGAAGAAAGGGCTCGGCCGGGGCAGCTTTAAATTCATGGGGAATGTACCTTTCCCATTAATTCCTGAGTGCAGGAAACTCATTTGTTCCTTAGCACAAGCCCTGACAGCAGCCTTAGAGCTTCCCAGGCCTCTACCTCTGATCCTGATGAATCTTTTTAATTGTTATGCCAGAAGAAATCTAATCAAACTCCTTTACATAATGCTCTGGAGAAGTAGCACCCTCCTCTCCCTGCAGGGCCGACGACGTGGCCGAAAGCCAGCTGCCGAAGTGGAGTGCAGCGTTTTCTAGGCAGCTAACACAGAGCAAAGTCATCTGGTCTAAGGCTTATCCCCTTGATGGGGATCCTTCAGAGCCAAGGATGAGACAAGACTGCTAGGACACACACCAAGCCCCTCTTGGGCAGGAATATTTTTTGTTATATCCAGGCACTGTCGCTCACGCAGTCAGGGGAGCCCCCCGCAGCAGCGGTACGGTGGGTGGGGAGCAGGACAAGGCATGCTGCAAGGTGGAACAGCACAGCCATCAACTAAGGAGCTGTTCTGCGAGCAGCAGAGCCAATCAATAGGGAGGATGCTGTCTGGGTACTCAATTCCCTGGGGTCTCATAAGACACAAGTGCTGTCAAAGGTTTACCTACAGCTGGAGCATTCGGGACGGCGGCACCGTGCGGGTTCTCCGGTGCGTAGCCGGGGTCGAGAATGTTTCCTTTCTAAAGGCATTCATGGGATCCCTCTCCTCCACCCGCTTCCACGTTCACGAAACCTGCAGTACCTCGGTATCTTTGAGGCCTTGGACCCCCTTCTGATGGAAATCAGCCAGTGGGCTCCACGGCAGTTAGGGCCGAAGCGCACTCACGTGCACTGACACGCTCCGTTTCCTTTGGAAATCAGGTTAAAAAAAATCAATCGCGCCCTGGCAGAGCTCCACTGCTACGAGAACTCCACAAACTCCACCCAGTTCCCCCCCCCAGCTCTCCAGAAAGCAACGGCACGGCGTGACTTTGAAAACACGCGTCAGGTGGAGGCTTCCAAACGCAGGCTGGCCCCAGCCAGGCTGGGAGGGCCGCTGCAACGAGCGGTGGGTGGAAGGCAGCGTGGCAGCTCCCCGTCCACGGGGCCAACTCAGGGGGACAATCAGAAATGCTGCTCAAGTTAGTGCCTTTAAGAAAGCGCTACCCTTCGGCCAAGGCAGTGCCTGGCCACACGGCCACTGCTAGCCCCGCGGCGGCGCCTGGGGCCCAGGCAAGGCAGAGACCTGCGGCTGCCTGCCTGGTGTCCCTCCAGAAAGCCCCCGGCAAGGCAGAGACAGAAACTCAGCTACACTCACAGGCTTCACACAGCAACAGCTCCCCATCAAGACCTCTTCCATGCCAGCTTGAACCCTTCCTCCTCAGCGCTGCCAGAGAAGACAGAGGCGGAGCTGGGTCTCCAGCATCTCCTTTGGGAGCTGACTGCCCTCAGGAGCGCTTTCTCTAACATTCTGTGCAGACTAACTGTCTTCACTGACACTACCAGCCAGGCGAGGCAGCCCCTGGGCAGGTTATCATCCAAATTCACAAATTCCCTAAAGCCCTGTTAGACCCCGTCACAGGTTCTGCCACATTGGCAGGACCTTGAGGACTGCAGGAGAGAGAGGGAGCTCCCTAGCCCTTAAAAGCATTTTCAGGAGGAACATGGACTCCCCAGGCACCAGGAGCACAGGGATCTGCCTAAAACAAGCCCTCTTCCCTGGCAATGCAAAACAACTTCTCTGTCTGACAAAGCAAAACTTACAGTTGCTCGGAAGGGCAATGCTGGGGCTGGAGAGCACGAGAGGAGAAGAGAAATGATAGGGACAAGCATCAGCAAGGCCAGATGGAGGGAGAGAAGCTTTCAACAGTTGGTGTTTAGTTCCTGTAATAAGTGGTTTCTGGGCCTGCAGGGACAGAGAGGCCAGGTAGAAAGTGACAACCCTAAGAAATCCCAAGTCTTGTGCATCTTTAGAGGCAGCAGGGACCGAGTAGGTATGAAGGTCTGGAAATTCTCCTGGGTATAGCGATGGCTGTCTTCTGTAAGAGGTTATCTACCCCAAGATCAAGGGATTCACGGGCAGGACAAGCAAAATGGGGCAGGTGAAGTGTACGGGGAGGGGGGCGGGGGGGGAAGGTTACGGCTGTCAGTGAACACCACTGCAAGGCTCAGGGCAGCCACGCTGATGGATGGAGCGAAGAGAAAGCAACAAGCCCAGACAAGCACCAGAAGGAAGATCCTGCCCAGACCAAACACAGCGAGGACAGGAGCAAACAGAAAAAGAACAAAAGAGAGATTTGGCACCTGCCCAAATGTCATCCAATTAAGCCTGCGGCACAGTCAGGTGAGCGAGGAAACAGCAGGCACCGGCAGGGACCCGAATCCGAATGAATGCCGCGAGGAGGAGCTAATTCCACCCTCTCACTGGCAGGGATGTGCAGGCAGAGGATGGGGAAGCTGG